ATATATGATACAGTACATAAATGAAGATTGACTAAATCCTAGAATCATGGGGCCATTTACTGCAGATCACGTAGGAGATACACCTTCCTTAACACATGGGAAAGGATAAGATTATGCATTTTCGCAATACAAATACAAAACACCACTTGCAATGTTCAATATACAAATTTCAGAGACTCCCCGGAAATAGCCCCCTACCCCCCACCAAAAAAAAAAAGGGAAATATAAATAAAAAACCACTCACCGTAGAAGATGGTGACCGTTACCCAGCATCGAGTTACGTAGCTTCATCGCCGGTTATGCTTTTCATTCAACATGTGTCCACTGCCAAAGCTTCACTTTGCGACCCAAATTAGTATTAAACCAGAATTTGCTAAATTGGGCTTATCTAGGAATTTATGAATGAGAAAGGAGTAAATGTTCAATCTCATCATTTTTTACTTTATTTTTGTTTTTTTTTTTTTAACATATTTTGCAAGGGACAGGTTTCGAACTTGACTGGGGTGGGGGAGTGCACCGGGCCTCAAGGGCCAGGTGCTTATTTTATTTTTGTTTAGGGGTACATCATAATGAAAATTAAATAAAAGCTAAAGCAAAAATAAAGGTGGAGGAAGCTAACTCCCAACGAATCCCCAAAAAGGATGGCTCTCAGACCATTTGGTGATGAGTCTAACCACCTTGTAATGTTGTTCAATCTCGTCATTAACCTTCAATTGGGATCTCAATTGAATCCCTCTAAAACTATATTTTCAATAAAATTTTTGTTTTTCAAGTGATTGGGTTTTTGAAATTTAAAATTATTCAAGGTAATCCTTTCCACCCATCAGTTATGAACCTATGGTAGTGCACTTCTTTCTTGTTAGTATCATGAATTTTGCCAAGTTCACAAAAATGATGTACGAAATTACAAAAAGAATTATATTGAAAAACTTTAATAGGTTAAAGACCAAATTACTCGTTGTTGAAAGTCGAAGATGGCTTTGATTGTAATTATTTATAAGTTAATTGAGGAAAGGAGGAAATGGTTTCTATAGGATGCGACTCATAGGAGGTAAATAATTTTAATTTAGGGTCAATACTACTAAATCGGAATGAACTGTTAAGTTAAAGATGACTTTGAAATGACAATATAAGTTGAAAGATTGTAAACAACATGAAAATAGTGTCTATTAATTTTAATTTTTAAAAATTATGAGAAAAATCATCTCAAAATTACGTCGTTTTAATAAATTTTTATTGAAAAAAACTAAATTACTTTATTTTAAATCATGTATTAAAGTAATTTTTATCTTTTTTTATTTTTTATTTTTTAGAAGTAATACAGGTAAGCAGTAACCCCAAACAACATTTACCCTAAACAGATTTACCCCTGTTTTCTGTTGATCTGTTTAATTGGTTCTTCTCTGTTTCGGCACTGTTTCCTCTCGCCCAAGCCCAAAGTCTAGCAAAAAATTTCTGTACCAAGGTCCAAGCCCATTTCAAAATCAATTGCCCAAGTAAATTTGATATCCGAGTCCCATGAGGTAAGGGCTGATCTCTTTGGTGACTAACAAAAAATTCGTGACGCAAGTGCTGATCTTTTTACTTCGGATTGGCCGCCTTAGTAGAGTGTACTATTTTTTTTGATAAAACTTAGTTGAGTGTACTATTTAAAAGCTGAATTCAAGCTTTTAGCGTAGTATAAGTAATGGTTGGATCCTCATTTCCTCAGTCCTCAGAGGAAAACAGAAACAGCATTCTCAGACACAAGGAGAGATGAGCGGAGTAGGGAAGGTGGTATGTGTCACCGGAGCATTGGGTTTCATAGCGTCGTGGCTGGTAAAGCTCCTGCTCGAACGTGGGTATTGTAGGAAATAGGCATATTTTGTAATTTTGTTTTATATTAAGGGCTTTTATGTAACTCTACATTTTATATGACCTTATATATATTTGCTGCTAAGGGTGCGCAGCTCGGTAATTTTGGTTTTGCACCCTCCACTTCCGCCTCACTTTACAGGTATACCGTTAAAGCCACCGTTCGCGACCCAAGTCAGTAATACTTTTTCTCCCCATGAAAGATTGTTCATTTTTTGCAGTCTTGCTTTAATGATTTCTCGGTTTGGTTATTAGATTTTAAATTCATTTTTCTTTTAACTGACTCTATGACAGATGATCCGAAGAAAACAGAACACTTATTTGCACTTGAGGGAGGGAAGGAAAGACTTCATCTATTCAAAGCAGAGTTATTGGATGAAGGAAGTTTTGATTCTGTTGTGGATGGGTGTGAAGCAGTTTTTCACACGGCATCTCCTGTGTTTCTTTCAGTTGCTGATCCCAAGGTCCGTAGTTTATTCATTATTCTTACAATTATGTACCTACTAGCTTGTTTTGTAGGAAACATGTGAGTTATATAATGTATTGCAATGCAGAACCGAGGACTGTCCATATATACTATCCTATTTGGAGTATAATTTGTGAAGACAATTCATTTTCTCGTGTTTCAGGCAGACTTAATTGATCCTGCGCTCAAGGGAACTCTTAATGTTCTTAAGTCATGCACGAAAGTTCCTTCCATCAAGAGGGTAGTGCTGACTTCTTCAATGGCTACAGTTTCATACAATGGAAAATCATTGACTCCAGACGTTGTGGTGGATGAGACTTGGTTTTCAGATTCAGCTTTTTGTGAGCACTCCGAGGTGATTACTCACATTTCCACTTAAGAATTTTTATCCCTTTTATTCTAGGTAATCAAATTCTAATGCACATGCTTTACTTACATGGTAATGGCAAAACAATAATTTTGTAACATCTTGGGTTTTCTTTTCAGCTTTGGTATGTGCTATCCAAAATATTAGCTGAGGAGACAGCTTGGAAGTTTGCAAAAGAGAATGGGATTGATTTGGTTACAATAAACCCAGGATTTGTCATTGGTCCTATTTTGCAGCCAACCCCCAATGCCAGCATTGATGTGATGTTGAAGCTCATAACAGCTGGTATGCTTCCCAATCTGTTGGAAATAATGTGTACAATTTTTTCTTTCTTATGATACCCTTACACAAATATTTGACATCTTTTGGGTGCAGGAGAAACATTGCAACCTCCTGCTAAATTTGTCGACGTTCGAGATGTTGCATATGCACACATTCAAGCATTTGAGATTCTTTCAGCTGGTGGTAGATATTGCATGGTCAACACAGTTGTACACGTTCTTGAGGCTTTCAAGATATTACATAAATTATACCCTTCTTTGCACTTAAATGAAAAGTAAGTTACATGATTCTCTTCCCTAGATTAAAACCTGAAAAGAAAAGACTTAGAAATCACACTAGTGATTTTGAAACTTGGAAAGATACTGAAATTTTTTCTCAAATCATGAGTTCATGTCAGATTTGAAGGCCAGCCTATTGAGAAAACGTACCAGATATCCAAGGAGAAAGCAAAGAACTTGATTGGAAATTTCATTCCTTTGGAGGTGAGTCTGAAGGATACTGTTGAAAGTTTGAAGGAGAAGGGTTTCCTAAGCATATGATCAATTTCAATATGTTGTCTCTTTATGATCTTCAAATCTGTGTAATGGTTAAACTAAGATTAGGTTGACTCACATCTATCTTGTAATCCAAGTCATTCCCTTTGTCTAATGAATTGTATGAGGCATACGAATAAAAAAAAGCTGATGCACTTTGTGCTGTCATCCGTTCATGTGCAAAAGCATCAAGAAAAATTGACCATTGACCAATGACCAATGACCAATGACCTTGTTGTACCATGATTTTGGAATATTGTATTTGTATTCAACGCGTTTCCTCATTGTGTTTACTCTGACTTTGTACAAAATTTCTATTCTTTTCCTCTCCCCTGAAAGCTATAATCCCCTTTCGATTGCTTCACACATGCACAAACTTGTGTGTTATGCTAGAAATGGGGAGATTTTTAGTTCTGGAGTTTTTGTTTGCTATTTTGTGCTTTACAACA